GCCTCTCCCTGCGAAGCCGCCAACACCAGTCGGTCAGGCTATCTGGCGAAAACTGTGTGTATCTTTCAGCCTCGGTGCATCAAAATGGTTTCCAGAACTGGAAGCCTGCCTCGTCTACGGTCAGACGAACGGCAGGATTTTGGGCGACGTTTCGCCTCACTTATCGCCTTGGGGGGGACCCAACTATTTAGCCGATTTAGCCGGTTTCCAATCGCGGATGCGCCGTCAACTTGGCTCCTCACCACATGATTTTGCACGGCCTCGGCTGCCCAGAATTCTCCACAGGTCCAGTGTTGGGTCAAGTCGTATCAATTCTGCAGTGTTCTCCAGTTCCCCAAGAAAATTCATCTCCAAAAATGCCAAAAATGCCAAAAGACAACCTCCACGAAGCATCGAGGCAACGCTCTGCCCGCCTCGAACAAGTCCTCCGATCTGCAACGCACGGAGGAAAATGCCCACACCAATAATGCAACCTGCGGATTTTTGGAAACAGCAGGTTTCCTAAAAAAAAGGTATCCCCAAATCATCTAAATTAGACCACTTTAGCCTTGAAACCCATGATTTTGGGGAATCCCCTATTTCAAGAAAGCCCCGGTCACGATACGAATCCTAAAAGCGCTGCGGGTGATTCTCATGCTCACACTGACACAAAGATCTGGGGATGCAACCCATCAACAACATGTGAAAATACATGAATAGTGATTAATGATGGCTAATGGTGATGCAACCTTTCAACAATGGAGCAACGACCAAGACCTTCTGTCACCTTCTAATGGTTGCGTAAAAGGGATGGTGCCAACGGAGGATACTTCCCATGTAGTTCACTAATGTTCCTAGCTATAAATCTCCGCCGAGTGGGAGATGTTCCATTGCCATGTTTGATTACCAGAGTGAACCCCATTAACACTTTTAGTCACTATTAATCACCATTCGTCACCATTACTGTAATCATTATTAGTCACCATTAACCACTATTAGTCACCATGAATCACCATTAGTCACCATTAATCACCATGAATCACCATTAATCACTATTGATCACTATGTCACCAGTGATCACTCTTGATAACTATCAATCACTATTAATTACCATTAGTCATCATTAGTCACCATTAATCACTATTGATCACCCATTAATCACCGTTAATCGCTATGAGTCACTATGCGTCACCACTAGTCACCATTAATCACTATTAACCGGTTTTATCATAATCATTTATGGGTACTTTGCAGCTAGCCATGGATCGTGGAGCACCTGTTCAGGCTGAAATTCGTGAAGCCGCTCCATGGCAAAGGTGCTAAGACCTGCGACGTGCGCCCTTTGTTTTTTTGGGGGGGCCGTGGCAAAAAGAAAGCTTTCACCAAGGGATTTCTTCATCTGAATTTGAATAATGTGTTTCTTTGAAAGTCTGAGTATGCTTCATTTTCGCCATATTTGATGCAACAGTCTGAGCACAACTATTTCTAGAAGGCGCCCTTTTGGCATTCCAGAAATCCAGGACCTCCCCAGCCTGAGAAAATGTCCGGGTGTGAATGCCCTGAAGATGCAAAAGCCCAGGTGCAGTTTGCAATGTCCTGCACAGCAGAAGTGAGTGGTCAAATTTAGCCTCTGTCATTCCCTCCTGGTTTGTTGATAGGTGTTGATATAGAGATTCTCACGATGGATACGTTTATGATCTCGAACAACTATAGCTTTAATGGGTGATCAATATTCATATAAGCCATTTATTCATTGTAAGCCCCCGGTTTTCACCACTCAAAGCTTTGGTGCCTGCGGCCTGATCAAACTGCCTTCTTTCGCAAGCACCTCAAAGCAGGCTTCGAGCTACAGCCATTTGTCAGAGGTTAGATTAGATAAGATTAGATTAGATAAGATTAGATAAGATTAGATAAGATTAGATTTGATAAGATTAGATAAGATTAGATAAGATTAGATTAGATTAAGATTAGATTAGATTAGACAAGATTAGATAAGATTAGATTAGATTAGATAAGATTAGATTAGATTAGATAAGATTAGATTAGATTAGATTAGATTAGATTAAGATTAGATTAGATTAGATTAGATTAAGATTAGATTAGATTAGATTAGATAAGATTAGATAAGATTAGATTAGATAAGATTAGATAAGATTAGATAAGATTAGATTAGATTAAGATAAGATTAGATTAGATTAGATAAGATTAGATTAGATTAGATTAAGATAAGATTAGATTAGATTAGATAAGAATAGATTAGATCAGATTCGATTAGATTAGATAAGATTAGATAAGATAAGATTAGATTAAGATTAGATTAGATTAGATAAGATTAGATTAGATTAGATAAGATTAGATAAGATTAGATTAGATTAGATTAGATTTAGATTAGATAAGATTAGATAAGATTAGATAAGATTAGATTTGATAAGATTAGATTAGATCAGATTAGATTAAGATTAGATTAGATTAGATAAGATAAGATTAGATAAGATTAGATTAGATAAGATTAGATTAGATTAGATTAGATAAGATTAGATAAGATTAGATTAGATAAGATTAGATTAGATTAGACTAGATTAGATTAGATTAGACTCGATTAGACTAGATTGGATTAGACTAGATTAGATAAGATTAGATTAGATTAGACTAGATTAGATTAGATTTGGTGAGACTAGATTAGACTAGATTAGATTAGATTAGACTAGATTAGATTAGATTAGACTAGATTAGATTAGATAAGATTAGATTCGATTAGATTAGACTAGATTCGATTAGATTAGATTAGATTAGACTAGATTAGATTAGATTAGACTAGATTAGACTAGATTAGATTAGATTAATCTAGATTAGATTAGATTAGGTTAGATAAGATTAGATAAGATTAGATTAGACTAGATTAGATTAGATTAGATAGATTAGATAGATAGATTAGATAGATTAGATAGATAAGATAGATAAGATAGATAAGATAGATAAGATTGGATCAGACTAGATTAGATTGGATTAGATTAGATAAGATAAGATAGATTAGATAGATTAGATAGATTAGATAGATTAGATAGATTAGATAGATTAGATAGATAAGATAGATAAGATAGATAAGATTAGGTTAGATTAGGTTAGATTAGTTTAGATTAGATAGATAGATAGAATAGAAAGATTAGATAGATTAGATAGATTAGATTAGATTAGATTAGATTAGACTAGCCTAGATTAGATTAGATAAAATAGATAAGATAGATAAGATAGATAAGATAGATAAGATAGATAAGATAGATAAGATAGATAAGATAGATTAGATATATTAGATAGATTAGATAGATTAGATAGATTAGATAGATAAGATAGATAAGAAAGATAAGATTAGATAAGATTAGGTTAGATTAGGTTAGATTGGGTTAGATTAGATTAGATGGAGAGATAGAATAGATAGATTAGATAGATTAGATAGGTTAGATAGATTAGATAGATTAGATAGATTAGATAGATTAGATAGATTAGATAGATTAGATAGATTAGATAAGATAGATAGATAGATAGATTAGATAGATTAGATAGAAGATAGATAAGATAGATAAGATAGATAAGGTAGATTAGATAGATTAGATAGATTAGATAGATTAGATAGATTAGATAGATTAGATAGATTAGATAGATTAGATAGATTAGATAGATTAGATAGAATAGATAGAATAGAATACAATAGAATACAATAGAATACAATAGAATAGAATAGGATAGGATAGAATAGAATAGAATAGAAAGATAGATAGATAGATAGATAGACAGATAGATAGATAGACAGATAGATAGATAGATAGACAGATAGACAGATAGATTAGATAGATTAGATAGATTAGATAGATTAGATAGATTAGATAGATTAGATGAATTGGATGAATTGGATAGGATTCGATAGGATAAGATAGGATAAGATAGGATTAGATAGGATTAGATAGGATTAGATAGGATTAGATCGGATTAGATCGGATTAGATCGGATTAGATCGGATTAGATAGGATTAGATAGGATTAGATAGGATTAGATAGGATTAGATAGGATTAGATCGGATTAGATCGGATTAGATCGGATTAGATAGGATTAGATAGGATTAGATAGGATTAGATAGGATTAGATAGGATTAGATAGGATTAGATAGGATTAGATAGGATTAGATAGGATTGGAGAGGATTAGATAGGGTTAGATAGGATTAGATAGGATTAGATAAGATTAGATAGGATTAGATAGGATTAGATAGGATTAGATAGGATTAGATAGGGTTAGATAGGATTAGATAGGATTAGATATAGGACTAGATAGGATTAGATAGGATTAGATAGGATTAGATAGGATTAGGTAGGATTAGGTAGGATTAGATAGGATTAGATAGGATTAGATAGGATTAGACAGGATTAGATAGGATTAGATAGGATTAGATAGGATTTGATAGGATTAGATAGGGTTGGATAGGATTAGATAGGATTAGATAGGATTAGATAGGATTAGATAGGATTAGATAGGATTAGACAGGATTAGATAGGATTAGATAGGGTTAGATAGGATTAGATAGGGTTAGATAGGATTGGATAGGATTAGATAGGATTAGATCGGATTAGATCGGATTAGATCGGATTAGATAGGATTAGATAGGATTAGACAGGATTAGATAGGATTAGATAGGATTAGATAGGATTAGATAGGATTAGATAGGGTTAGATAGGATTAGATAGGATTAGATAGGATTAGATCGGATTAGATCGGATTAGATCGGATTAGATAGGATTAGATAGGATTAGATAGGATTAGATCGGATTAGATAGGATTAGATCGGATTAGATCGGATTAGATAGGATTAGATAGGATTAGATAGGATTAGATCAGATTAGGTAGGATTAGATAGGATTAGATAGGATTAGATAGGATTAGATAGGATTAGATAGGATTAGATAGGATTAGATAGGATTAGATAGGATTAGATAGGATTAGATAGCATTAGATAGGATTAGATAGGATTAGATAGGGTTGGATAGGATTAGATAGGATTAGATAGGATTAGATAGGATTAGATCGGATTAGATCGGATTAGATCGGATTAGATCGGATTAGATCGGATTAGATAGGATTAGATCAGATTAGGTAGGATTAGATAGGATTAGATAGGATTAGATAGGATTAGATAGGATTAGATAGGATTAGACAGGATTAGATAGGATTAGATAGGATTAGATACGATTAGATAGGATTAGACAGGATTAGATAGGATTAGACAGGATTAGACAGGACTAGATAGGATTAGATAGGATTAGATACGATTAGATAGGATTAGACAGGATTAGATAGGATTAGATAGGATTAGATAGGATTAGATAGGATTAGATAGGATTAGATAGGATTAGATAGGATTAGACAGGATTAGATAGGATTAGATAGGATTAGATAGGATTAGACAGGATTAGATAGGATTAGATAGGATTAGATAGGATTAGATAGGATTAGACAGGATTAGATAGGATTAGATAGGATTAGACAGGATTAGATAGGATGAGATAGGATGAGATAGGATGAGATAGGATTAGATAAATAGGATAGGACAGGACAGGATTGGATTGGATTAGATTCGATTAGATTCGATACGATACGATAGGATACATACATACATTACATTACATTACATTACATTACATTACATTACATTACATACATACATACATTACATACATTACATACATTACATACATTACATACATTACATACATTACATACATTACATAATTACATACATTACATACATTACATGCATTACATACATTACATACATTACATACATTAC